TGCAGCAGCGGCGGGAGGAGGAGGAGCGACGGCGGCAGCGGCGAGGGGAGGAGAGGCGGCTGCAGAAGTTACGGGCCGGCCAGCAGGCGCTCCCGGACCGTGTGCCAACACTGCTGAGTGCTAGTGCACCACCGGCGCGCCCTGCGCCTTCAGGTGAGCCAGGAACAGTTCCGGGGGTGGTGAGCGCCGCGCTGCGGCGGCCCGAGCCCGCCCTGGTGCTGTACAAGGTGGACCTGCTGGATCTGCCCGACGCCCTGCTGCTCCACCTGCCCGCCCTGGTGGGCCCCAAGCTGCTGATGGTGCTGGGAAGCATGGTGGCCCTTATGCCCCAGGACACTCCCGACTACCAGCAGTGACTCCAGGAGCGACTGTGGGACGACTATCGGCGCCGGGCTCCTGCCGCCCCGCGGCTACCGAAAGCCACAACATCTCAGCGGGGACTGGCCACGGGACGGGGAGGACAATGCGAATCTTCCGTCCAAGATCCGCAAGGTGCTCAGAGACGTGCGGCGCATCAGCGCCAAAATCTCCGCGCTCCAGCGCTCCTGGCACTACCGCGGCGACGTCTACCTGGTTGGCGCCACCAACGCTAAGTCCACTGTTTTCAATACGCTTCTGGAGTCCGATTACTGCATCGTCAAGGGCGCTGAAGCTATCTACAGGGCCACCACCTCCCCTTGGCCTGGTTAGTCTTGCGGCACCCATCTCCTTCGTTTTCAGAAAAGTTGTAAGTCTGAAGTTGTTTCAGGCACCTCATTCTGTATTCTTCAATGTCCCGCAGGGGCTGGTGGGATGCTTCCCTTTAAAAACATGCTCTCCCTACTTTGGTCACATTTCTCTTCCATATCAGCTTAGTGCTTGTAAATTCAGTATATGTTGTAGTAACTTTTCAGTAGAACTAATTAGAGTACTCTGATGTTCAAGCCACTGTTCTAAACACTGAACCAGGGGACATGGTTCAGTGAACCAGGGGACAAAGCAGTGTCTGCTCTCTTGGAGGTTTCTCTTGTAGCTTTAGTCCTTTGTTTCTCCAGAAAATCCTTCTTTTACTTTCTACTCCTCCTCCACTCCTGTCTTCCTCTTTATATTTTGAGTTTACTCATGAGAATGCTATACAGATTTTTATTATTATTATTTACTTATTTTGGGTTGTGCTGGGTCTTCGTTGCTGTGTGTGGGCTTTCTCTAGTTGCAGCCAATGGGGACTGCTCTTCATTGCAGCGAGGGGGCTTCTCTTGTTGATCACAGGCTCTGGGGTACATGGGCTTCATGTTACCCCTCCCAGGCTCTAGAGCACTGGCTCAGTAGTTGTGGCGCACAGGCTTAGTTGCTCCACAGCATGTGAAATCTTCCCCGGATGGAGGATGGAATCCATGTCCCCTGAATTGGCAGGTGGATTTTATCCATTGTACCACCAGAGAAGTCCCTACTATACAGATTTAACATTTGAATTCTTCACTAATGCAATATGATTTGTGGCTTTGTTGAGAAGAAACGTCAAATATGTGGCTTTAAGAAACATCTGTAATAATTGCAAAGTAGGTGCTTTTAAGACCCTGTTTTTATTTACCAGTTTTATATTGGTTGGTAGATTTTTGTTGTATAAAATAAGTTCCTTCTTTCTTTCTTAAGGGAAACCAGTCAGCTTGGTTTACAGTTGTGGCTTCCAACTTTCTTCCTGTTTCATTGGACAAGGTGGATACTATATATCAGAAGCACACGAGTCATACGCTACTGAAGGTGAGGCAACACGCTTTGATGGTTGCATCGTTAGGTTAATAACACCCACTGTGGATAGTTCCACAGCCCTGATAAAAAGCCTTTGTTGGACAGAACCATCTTTGTTACACCATCAGCTAGCTCTCTCTGACCTTGTTCACCTTGAGGATTTTGGCTATAAAGTGAGATGGGCTCTGATAAGAAAAGGGATGTTGGATTAGACTGATCCCAGGATACTGACAGAGCTGGATTTTCTCTAGGTGACACTGTCCAATATGGTAGCCTTATGTGGCTAAATAGCCAACATGTGGCTATTTCAATAAGTTAATTAAAATTAAATAAAACTTTAAAATTTAGTTCTTTACTTGCACTAGCCACTTTTCAACTGTCCAGTGGTCACATCATTTCAAAAAGTTGCGCTGGATAATGTGAGTGAGGAGACGTTGGATTTTCTCACAACGGGGTGATGCTACTGGCATGTAATGGGTGGAGGCCAGAGATGATGCTAAGCATAATGCATGCACAGGACAGCCCCTCACAACAGGGTTCACACGTGAGTGCTGAGCTTAGCAGCCCTTGTCTGGGTGGAAAAGCTCTCCTCCCAGGTTCTTAATCACAGACACTTAGAGATTATCGTACATCTTCTCTCCTGCTTACTTGATCCTTCCTTTGACCTGTGAAGCAGTGTGTGAAAATCTCTCTGATCTTTCAGAAACAAAACTCTGTCCCGCTCCTTCCTCTTCTTTGCAATCACGCCGACTCCTGCTCCTCGCCTCCCATCCTCTGCAGTCCCTGCCGTGGCCTTTCTGTGCCGCTGAAATCGGTCCACGTTCACCAGAGGCTGGGCCAGTTTGCGGCTCTTTAGGCAGACCTGCGCACACACCGTCGGCTAGCCTGTAGTGCATGACGGTTCAGCTCACTGGAGCTAGGCTGGGTTCACGTCCCGCTCTGCCCCACCACTCAGTGAAGCTCTGTGACTTTGGGCAAGTCCTCTACCTCTGTCTGTTGTGACCACACCATGCGGTTGTGGAGAAGATCCAGTGCCCAGGCACCGTTGTCCCTGCCGTGTGTTTGTGGTGATGAGGAGGGGGCCGGGACAGAGCTCCTGCAAAAACACCAGCTGCATCCAGTGCAGATGTGAGTTACATTAGTGAATGCTCATACAGCTATAAATGAGTCACACCTGCCTTTCAACCAGGATAAAACCAACCTGACTGCAGAAGCAAATGCTTCTTTCTCTCTGGACTAACGAAAAAAGCCAGAGTGAAATTAAGACTCCACTGAAATACTGGCCTAAATAAAGTTGATGCTCCAGACACATGTAGGATTTGAGGGGAGGGCTCCACCTTCATGCATCTGTGTAGTCGTCAGGGTGGACTCACTGATACTTCTCAAAGCGACACTCAGGTTTCTCTCCCCTCATCATACAGTTTCTTGGGCCGCTCTGTGTCTCCGCCTTGCCTTCTGGTTTTCATTCATCTCCCAAGTCAAAGTCAATCCTGCCTCCTAATCAACACTGAGATCAGGCTCACAGTCCAAACAGTAGCCTGCTTTCTGAAATTATGAGCTATTTCCTAAATTCCAGTTTTATTGTCTTCCTCCCACCCTCACCCCACTACAGCTGTAGTTCTCAACCAGGCTTGACTCTTCCCGCAAGGCAACATTTGTCAAAGCCTGCAGACAGTTTTGATTTTCACAACCTGATGGACACCGAGTAGAAGCTGCTAAAACTCATGCAGTACCCAGGACAGCCTCCTCTGACAAAAAATTACTCGGCCTAAAAGGTCAGTAGTGCTGAGGTTGACAAAACCTGCACTACACAAATTTTTCCAAAATACAAAGCAGGTCACAGTATTATTTTTTTTTAAAGGAATGAACTTTTTTTTTTTTTTAACATTTATTTTTATTCATTTGGCTGCATAGAGTCTTAGTTGTGGCATGTGGGATCTAGTTCCCTGACCAGGGATCAAACCCAGCCCCCCTGTATCAGGAGCGCAGAGTCTTAGCCACTGGACCACCAGGGAATTCCCACAGTATTATTTTTTATTCTTTTCTCTTCCCTGCATATAATTCCTTGTTAGTTCCACATTACTGAGAGAAATCTCAACTGATAGCTTCATCACTATTACACACACACACACACACATGTACACCTAACATACTCTGCACAGTTAAACTACAGTTCTCTGAACTCATCATCCTTTTTCCAGTTTTTGTGTCTGTACATGATTCTAAACCACAATACCTTTGCACTGAGTAATCTATTTTTCAAAATTCTGCTCTTCATGTTTCCCTTGACCAAATCACATTCATTACTCTCTTCACAACCATAGTACTTAATAGATGACTTTCATCGCTTTTCTTACCCTATAAATTATTTACTTGCTACTTCCACCTTCTGATTCCCTGGGGGATCAGAGACCATATTGTACCATCTTTGTGTCCTTGGTACTAAACACAAAGAGATCTATTAATGCCTCCAATACATGGAAACACTTGTAAACACAGAGCTGAATCTTACCCATTTACCAGGTACCCTTCAATTCTAATGAGGCGGGGAGTAACTTCTGTCCAGCTAGGCCTGTAAGAACTGAGGTGTTTGGAAGGTTGTTGCCTTAATTGCCCAGTTACTATGTCTAAAGCTTTATGGAAGGCTGCCAAAACAGTGTAAGCTAATAAAACAAGATTCTGCTGTCTGGAGGTGACCACCAGATGGATGCCATGGGGCCCTCATCACTGGGATCCATAGGCTTCATCCTGTTACAGAGCTCCTGGGCTTTTCATTTGATCTAGAAGTGATTGAGGATTTTTTCCAATAGTTTAATGTTTAAAATGGTTTTATTCTTGATAACCTGTACAGTATTATCTTATCAGTGCCTTAACTTAATATTAGAGTTATCAGGGGTTTCATTTGAATTTCTAAATAACTTCATCTCCTCCCAATGGAAGGTTCCAATGGGTGAAGAAAGAATGGCAGGATTTCCTCCTCTTGTTGTTTAAGACATCACATTAGATGAAGGATTTGAGGAATCTGAAGCAGTGGCTGACATCAAGTTCTCCTCTGTAGGTAATTTTATACCAAGCACTTTTCAAAAGGGGACTAATGTAGCCTTCCTGATGTTTGGGGCTTACCTGGTGGCTCAGACGGTAAAGAAACTGCCTGCAGTGTGGGAGACCTGGGTCCATCCCTGGGTCAGGAAGATCCCCTGGAGAAGGAACTGACAACCCACTCCAGTATTCTTGCCTGGAGAATCCCATGGACAGAGGAGCCTGGTGGGTTACAGTCTATGTGGTCCCAAAGAGTTGGACACGACTGAGCAGCTCAAACACATACACACTGATGTTTAGCATATTTTTATAGTCATGTATAAAAATATGTATTTTATGCATAAAAATATGCATGTATATGCAGCCTTAACTGACATTAACTGAAAATTTTAAGAAATACATGCTAGATTATTCGTAAGATGCAACCTACTCTGAAAATGAATCTGTACATTTTCACAAATGCATTGTATGCTTTAAAAAAAAAAATGGAGTGAGACAGCAGTAGCTTCCCTTGGGTCTCCATCTGGAGCTGTGTTTGGTGTTTTTAACAGGATGGTTTTAACAGGATGCTTGCCTACACCATCTGTATTCTGTCGTGTGCCTACATAGGTTGGATAGCAGTAAGGCCAGAGTTTAAGGACTGTACCTCTGATGCTATACACCTCAAGGGACAGTTCTGACATTGTACAATCTGCAGAAAAAGAAAAAAAGATAGTTGTATGAAGCGGACCTGTTCACATTAAAGATGAACTATATAGAATGTACTGTGTACATCACATTGCATTTTATTAAATATCACTGTAATAAAGCCCCCTCACCCTTTTCAACCTACCAAGGACCATGCCTCTTTTTATGAATTGTTTGTAAACACATTTTATTTTTAAGTAGGGTATGTACATGTGTGTTATCTGTGATTCAAACATACCTAAAAAGGAGTTCTGTTACATTCAGGATTCTCCTGAATGTAACATACATTTCTCCCACTAGTATTTGTTATTGAGACCAGATGGCATTTCTTATTTAGAATCTAAAGAGCAGCTTAGCAGTTGGTGTAAGAGAAAATGGCAGAAAGTCAATGTCTCCAAAATACACTGGCTTAAATGAAAGAGAAATGAGTAAGTGGCTGTGCTTCAGGTAGTCAGCCAAGCACCCAACTGGGGAACACTCCATGGCTTCCGTCTCTGGGTCTAAGGTGATTGCTCAGGTTGTCATCCTTACACAGCAATGAGAAGAGAGTGAAGAGCACGCAGCTACCCTGCTGAAAAGAAGGGAAAAGCTGGAAGTTGCCCGCATCACAGTGCCCAGTGGGCAACAGTTCGATGGCCACACCCCACCATGGGGAAGCTGGAGGATGTAGATGGAAATGCAGAGTCAGATGTTTATTACTTAAGGGAAGAAACAGTGAAAGAAATCTGGAAAACAGGTAGAAGTTTCCCTTATGTAATCTAAAAGTGCCCGAAGATCTTAGAAAATGATTGATATCTTTTTGGTATCTGAGATCTATTCTGCAAGGATAAGAGCACTTCAGCTATTTTCTCAGCATTTGCCTGTAAACACTGTACATAAAACATTACACCAGTCAGAAGTCTGTACCTTTATGTATGCTTAGTTGAGCAAGTGGCACTATAGCTGTGGACAATGAATTGGTGAGTCAAGTCCCAGGTCCCAGTGTTGAGATAAATGCTTGTGGAATAGGCTGGCCTGAAATGCAGATCCATGAACTTCCTGTAGACTCAGGTTTACCATGAACTTAATAGTCCAGGTTCTCTGTCAACAGGTACACTCTAGCCCCCTTCTCACTAAGTAAGTCATTGTTGGATAAATGGTATTTAAAAATGAAACTGGTTAAAAAAAAACAAACAAAAACACTTTATAGATCTCACTTTCATTGTGTTTCAAAGTGAATACTATTGGCATATTGGGGAAGGTGTGCATCCTTGGGCAGATGTGCATCCTTGGGGAATGTGCATCCTTCATCCCTAGATACTAAATGCCACTAGCATGTAGCATAAACGCCCTGCCCCATTATTCATTGTGACACTGGTGACCCCCCCCTGGCATTTCCAGACCCACCCTCTAGAGGGTGGTAGCTTCCCAAGTTGAGAAAATGATTGGTAGTTGATTTCTAGTTTACTTTGGAGAATGAAAAACTGTTAACTTTACAAGTTAAAATTGTGATCATTACATTTCTATGTACTGTTCATAGTTTGTAGCTTAGTCCTGAATCTAGACAAGAAGATAATATGGTAAATGTGCATTTTAGAAAAATACAGAACCCCAAAACTGATGCTGTTATTTAGCTGAAAACTTACAGGCTTTTAGACAGCTTGACAAAGATTCCACTTTTAAATGTTCAGAGTTTATATCCTCAGGTTTCTCTTGCTTCTAATATTCAATGGTTATGGTTAGATTGAGGCATATCTAAAAATGTTCCAAGGTATCTTGCTAAGTTTCAAACAGTAAAATTTACTAGGTAAATCTCAGTTTCACTGGTTGTATTAGTTAATCTCTTTGGGTCTTCATTTTCTCATCTATAAAATGAGGGAATGACACTAAATATTTCTCAATCCTTTTTATGATTCTCAGCAAAAACAGACAGGAAAGCCAAGAAAGGTTGGTTACAAGACCTCAGATGAAAAAGGCCCTCTGAGCATAGACAGTGGAGACTGGTGCTAGGATTTGCTATTAATTTATAACACATTCAGGCAACCTAGTGCAGCCCAGAATGATAGCCCAGTTGCTGTATCCAATTGATCCAGTGGGGATTTGCTTCAAGAAAGTTCTCCTACTGTGTTGGCTTCTGAGCATCAGCCAGCTTACTGATACTTCCTAATCCACTGATCTCAGGAGGAAGACTGACTTCCTATCTCTAATCATTTATACTGTGGCAGCACACAGGAATCAGGAGAGCAGATATTAATGGCAAGGTGTCAGGACAGCCCCTCATGTCCACAGAACAGGGGTTGTTTTGAGGGACTAGAAAATGATTAAGCAAATTTTATACTAGTTCGTTTACTTGGTTCTGCAGACTTGTGTTCAGCATGTCACCTCTTTTGTATTCATGACACCTTAGAAGAAGTAAAAAATGTGCCATCAAAGAGCTTTTCGATTTCTCTGATATTAAATGCAGTTTTATCTTTAAAGTTCCATATCTTTCCTCCCTTCTGTAAAACAGCAGCATTTTCTTCAGTTTCTGAGACAAAGTGATGTTTTTAACACATTTAGTTTTTCTTCATCATCACCAGCAAGCCCTACCAATCAGTGGGGCTTTACTGTGTAGCTCCCCAGTGTCTAACTTGTCTCTGTAACTTGCAACTCTCCCCTGACAGCCGAGAAGCGCAGCACAGACGCAATCCTGGGTGCTTGTGCTTGATCACTCACTCTCTGCAGGCTGGAAATCATGCTGCTTTCCTGCAGGTGACTAACTTGGAGCTCCAGTGGGGCCAGACGTGGCAGACCTCTCACTGCTTCAGAGCAGGCACCCCGTGCTCCAGCTGAGGCAAGCTGTTTTGTAGACGGCCTCTGCTCATTTACCCTGGCTTCCCTCCCACCTGGCTGTGTCTTGTGGAGCAACGATCATTTCCATTCTTTCTCAGACTGCTCCATTTTCTCTTGGCTGCTCTCCTCCTCCCCGAGGGATTGTTTTCTCTCAAATGTCAGCGTAATGGTTAAACAATAAAAACAAGACTTCGGGCCGGTGTGAGCCCAGCAGCACCTCTGCCTGCTATTAATGTCTCTGTCCTGCTGTCTGTCCACTGATGCCTGGCAGTGGGTGGGAAGGGCTCGAGATTAGTATTTTAACATCATATAGGAATGATACTTCACTTTGTCCCTTCATATCAAAGACCATCAATATTTTCTCATTTAGAACAGAAGTTTCATGATCTGACTATTTTTAGGTCTAGACCATCCTTAAAAAACCAATGTCTTGGAGCCACAGTTTCCTGTTTTTCAGAAGTTTCCTTCTGCTTCTCAAACAATTCTCAGAATTTACCTTCTGGCTGTTTAACCTGGTGGAAGCATTTTGCTGTAGTATTCTCACTGGTAGGTATAAGATGATGCTTAATCACAGATACTGTCAGTACCTCTGGCCAGAAACATTGGTAGGGCTGAGAAAACTTAGACCAGACAGACACACACACACATACACACACACGTGCTACAGACCACATCATCAAGTGATTGTGAACATGAGAAATTGCCAAAATCCTTCCTAAGCTTTCAGTAAGTCCCTGGAAAGCAGCCAGCATGAATGAATGAATTAGGAAAAAGAGAGAACTTTTTTGTTTTGGCAGTTGGTTTTGCCTTCCCTAAAAAATAGCAAGACAAAAGAATTAAATTTGCTTAGCACTGACATTTTTCTTCCTATCCTGCCTAAAGACAGAACCTCAGGGCAGTTGTATTTGAGGCTATTCACAGTTACTATGATCATATGATAACCCATAGAGCGCCTATTTCTTTATAGTCTTTTAATACTACTAATAGATCTTATTAAACATGTACAACGAGCCTGGCACTTTTAAGCCCTTTACATTAACTGAATCCTTACAACCACCCCATGCTGGAGGTATTGTTATTACCTGCATTTAGAGATTGCAAGCTAAGGTTCATGTAATTAGCCCAGAATTAAGGAGTGATGGATCTGTGATTCCAAACAAACCCAAGCAGTTGTGCTCCAGCACCTTGTGGGTTTAATTATACAGTAAAACTTCACTTTTTCCCCTTTCGATGTACAGTTCTCTGGATTTTAATATATGTATAAGCTCATTAACCAGCATAATCAAAATATGTAACAGTTCTAACAGCACCTAGTGTTATCACCACCACACAACAGTCCCTGTATATACTAGAATCCATTTCAAATCTAAAGGCGAGAACTTTTCAACCTTAGGAGGGACACATCTCAGAAAAGCAGCCCATTTTGAAGATCTCAAAGGTAACAATTTCCTTAGTTCCACTAGTTCTTAGTTCTCCCTCTAGCTTCCTTTGAATCCTCCCATATGTAATTCCAGCCTAAGAATACTCCAGAGCTAGCACGTGAGTGCGAGATGGGCTGCACCCTTGCTCACTTCAGCAGTGCTGTCCAAACTGTGTCCCACTGTGAATTCTGTGCTGTCTTACCATCTCAGATAGTTTTAAATCGAAAGTGCTTTCGTGACTGGCTGGGAATGTTTACACACTGCTAGTGAGCTTTGCCAAGTACCACGGACAGATCACAGCATGCGTGGAGAACCTGACCCACAATTCTGACTCACAGGAAATTCACAATGCAAATACACAGAGAAATACACCAGTAAATTATCCTAAAAAAGAAACTGACTTTTAAAAACTAGTGGTTTCTATTTATTCACATGTCAAATAGCTTCAAAAACAATTATTTAAAAAATTAACTTGGCCTTAAAATTGTTTAAAAATGGCCTTGCCTTTCTCCTTGAGCACTCATCCTGTTTCCTATTCCTTTTCATATCTTACTGACTTTCACTAAAAGGGGATCTTAGTTGCACAACTAGAAGCCTTTTATTATCTCCAGTTTTCTCAACATTTAACATCTAGCTGGAAGAGATTTATCATTTTCTATTGTTCACTTTAAGGTTAAATATTCAACACAATAAAAATTAGAGAAATGCTGACTACTTTCCTTTAAATACCAGATAGTATATTTTACTGAAATACTTGGTAAGGAAAATGTCTTTTTCACTGGATGAAAAAAACTATTATGTAAATTAATTCCAAGATATAAGCACAAAATTTATAGCATGGGAACTTGGATGAGATTGCTCAACAAAGGAAAACAATGCTAAACAGTCCCATTTACTAACTCACTAACTCAGCATGGGTTCAGAAAATTCTAGGTACAGTTGCTCATTTGTCAATTGGAAATGCTTCTTTTAAAACTACATTGAGGGCATAATTAGGTTTGTATCCACATTTGTTGCTGAGTAACTAACCACCCCAAAACAATGACTTTAAACAAGCTTTGCTTTGATTCTTTGCTGTTCAATCACTAAGTTGTGTCTCTTTGCAACTCCATGAACTGCAGCCTGCCAGACTTCCCTATTCTTCACTATCTCCTGCAGTTTGCTCAAATGACTGTCCATTGAGCCGGTGATGCCATCCAACATCTCGTCCACATCCGTTGTTGAGTGACTAACCACCCCCAGATTTAGTGACTTGAAACAAGCTTTGTTCCAATTCTTTGGCCTGGCAGTTTGATCTGGGCCCAGCTCAGTGGTTCTTCCGCCCCTTGGGGACATGCATTTGCAGACCTCACTCCACGTCAGGAACTTCAGCTGGGATGGCTGTAACAGCTGAGAAACCTGGGTCTTTTCCCAGGGGTCACTCTCTCCACCTAGGCTCTCACCCTCAGGAGGCCAGTTCTGGCTCGTTCACAGGTGACGGTGTTCAGAATGAGCACGAGCAGAAGTTACAAGGCCTCTGGAGGCTGAAGCTCAAATAGCACAGCATCACTCTGCTGTGTTCTACTGGTCAGAGCAAGCCGCAGTGGTGGCTGGGACTCAGGCTGACGGGAAGGGCTGCCAAGATTCTGTAGCCATTTTCATCCATCACAAGGTTTCAGCATGTTCATCACCTTGAGGAAAATGCAGTATTATAACATGCTGAGAGTCAATTACTAGGTAGGTTGACAAGAAGTCCAGGGTCCCTGAGGAGGAGAAAGGGGTCTGGGGCTCTCAAGGAGTGTTTTTTTCCCCACATTGCTTTGTCTTAGTGAATATAACAATGTGTCTTGCATCTTTTAATTTCATGGCTACAGTCACCATCTGCAGTGATTTTGGAGCCCAAAGAAATAAAGTCTGACACTGTTTCCACTGTTTCCCCATCTATTTGCCATGAAGTGATGGGACCAGATGCCATGATCTTTGTTTTCTGAATGTTGAGTTTTAAGCCAACTTTTTCACTCTCCTCTTTCACTTTATCAAGAGGCTCTTTAGTTCCTCTTCACTTTCTGCCATAAGGGTGGTGTCATCTGCATATCTGAGGTTATTGATATTTCTCCCAGCAATCTTGATTCCAGCTTATGCTTCATCCAGTCCAGCGTTTCTCATGATGTACTCTGCATATAAGTTATATAAGCAGGGTGACAATATACAGCCTTGACGTACTCCTTTTCCTATTTGGAACCAGTCTGTTGCCCATGTCCATGCTACAGTAATCAAAACAGTATGGTACTGGCACAAAAACAGAAACAGAATAGGAGAGAAAGCCTGCTGGGCATATAAAAGTTATGTTTAGCTTCTGGTTAGATATTATGAACTGGTTAGGTATTATGATAGAGGGAAGGCTGCTTAAATCATGTTAATATAAATAACACATTATTATAAATCGAAAACCTTCAGATTAGGCTGAAATCCTTTTCACCACCACTCCTAGTTGCTCCATTTACCACAGCATCCATCTCCCCATGTAATATTCCTCACTTAATCAGGAAAGCAGTGTGGCACAGACCTGCCACACTGCATGACACTAGGCAATTTGCTTGTTTGCAGGAGGTAAAGTGGGAATACCAGCCTACTTCTTGGGGACGCTGAGAGGACTGAGTTAATGCAATGTGTTCAGAAGAGTGCTTGGTACTTAGAAAAGGATTACTCCTGCATGTTCATGTGAGATCTCCAGTTCCATGCAAAATGTTTCCCAGTTATTTACAGGTATCCCCAGGGGTGGCTCACATGGATCATGAATAAGGCTAGCTTACTCATATGTGAAGTCAGCCAGTCCCTTCCTCTCCAACAACAGCTCCCTTTAGTGTGATTTCACTCCTGCACACAGGCCACAGAGCAGAAACATGCAAGCCTCAGCACTCCACTGCTGCCACGACTGACCTACAGAAAAATCATGTTCATTACTACCTCTACCAAAGAGTCTATCTCAGTACTAAGCAGTGCAGATTCACACCCTTGGCTCCCTCCAATCCCTGGGTAATGCAATCACTATAGCTGCCTCTGCTCCTGTTAACTGCAAGGCCCCATGCTTGCTACTAGGTAGGTAAACTTGTCTGCCTTACTCTCCATGTATGTAAGATGTGCTGTATCACATCAGAAAAACCTTTGTTCTTCCATGCAAATAGAAGTCCTGCTGGCATCCCCACACTAGTTCACTATAAATGGCAAATTCCAGCTACTGTTGTAGCTCATGCTCGAGCAGGGACCTCTGTCTTAATTTGCAGCTGATAGCTCAGTTGGTCAAGAATCTGCCTGCAATGCAGGAAACCCCCGTTCAATTCCTGGGTTGGGAAGATCAGCTGGAGAAGGGACAGGCTACCCACTCCAGTATTCCTAGGCTTTCCTTGTGGTTCGGCTGGTAAAGAATCCGTCTGCAATGTGGGAGAACTGGGTTCCATCCCTGGGTTGGGAAGATTCCCTGGAGAAAGGCAAGGCTACCCAGTCCAGTATTCTGGCCTGGAGAATTCACTTAGCTTAGAAGGGTATCCCCCACTACTGAATAGCTTAAAGTGAGTAATCGGCACATGAAACAAGCACCTAGGTCTATGGGGGGGAAAAGCTGTTCTTTATTGATAGAGAATACCAGTTACAAGTTATGTAACTGATTTAAGCAAAAATCAATAGATGCTATATAATCAATGGGTGTGTTGAAGAATAAGATAGTTTCACTATATCATCCCACAGAATTATAAAGGGAAAAAATAACTTTGCAGTGGAGAAATATGATGGACAATACCTTAATCAAATAACAGAAGT